ACTGTTTGTGTCCCATGGGACTTTAAATGACAAATACACCAAATATAAAAGACACTGTGTATTTTATTGTATACAATTTAAAATAAATTATTCCCTGAAGAAATTGAAACACGTTGTATTTCTCTGGCTGGGGAACACCCTGTGAAGAAATTCTTGGATATGGTGCACTGTAATATTCATGTAATTCATTTTGCCTGCTGTGTTTGGGTACTGTAACTATATGACAGAGTTATTACCATGCCAAGATTGTGGTTTTTATGTACATTTATTTTAAACTGTATGCAATAAAATACACTGTGTTTTATATATTGTTTTTATTTGCCATATAAAATCTCATTGGAAGCCACAGTTGGTAGAATATGCTTTACCCATATTGAAAATAAACACAAATTATACAAACAGAAAGTAAAGCTATAATGAACCAATTATCAGGCTGCCAGTAGTACAACCTGTGTTGACATTCCGTATCTATTAAAGTGATATTAAACCCTCAGTTTTTTCAGCAGCTGATTTAATCACTTACTCTGCATGCAGCTTCTTTATCTTTTATTCCTTGCCTGTGTTCCAGTAAATGCTCATGCCATGGCCATGCTGCTGCCCGGGGAAGGGGAGGGGAGAGGAAGTGGAAGTGAGGGGGGGGGAGAGGAAGTGGGAGTAAGAGAGGGGGGGGTGAGAGGGGGGAGTGAGAGAGAGGGGGGAGGAGGGAAGGAGAGAAGGAGTGGGGGAGGGAATGAGGGGGGAGGAATTAGGGGGGGGGGGGAATGAGGGGGGGGAGGGAATGAGGGGGGGGTAGGGAATGAGGGGGAGGGAATGAGGGGAGGGAATGAGGGGGAGGGAATGAGGGGGAGGGTGAGGGAATGAGGGAGGGAGGAGGGGGAGGGAATGAGGGAGTGAGGGGGGAAGAAGAGGGAGTGAGGAGGGGGGAGGAGAGGGAGTGAGGGGGGGGGGGGGAGGGGGGGAGAGGAGGGAGTGGGAGGTGGGGGAGGGGGGAGAGGGGGAGGAGAGGGGGGGAGGTGAGGGAGTGAGGGGGGGGGAATAGAGGGGGGAGAATGGAAGGGGGAGAGAGGGGGAGAAGAACGAAAGGGAGAGAGAGGGGGGAGAACGAAAGGGAGAGAGAGGGGGGAGAACGAAAGGGAGAGAGAGGGGGGAGAACCAAAGGGAGAGAGAGGGGGAGAACCAAAGGGAGAGAGAGGGGGAGAACCAAAGGGAGAGAGAGGGGGAGAACCAAAGGGAGAGAGAGGGGAGAACCAAAGGGAGAGAGAGGGGGAGAACCAAAGGGAGAGAGAGGGGGAGAACCAAAGGGAGAGAGAGGGGGGGAGAACCAAAGGGAGAGAGAGGGGGAGAACCAAAGGGAGAGAGAGGGGGAGAACGAAAGGGAGAGAGAGGGGGAGAACCAAAGGGGAGAGAGGGGGAGAACCAAAGGGAGAGAGAGGGGGAGAACCAAAGGGAGGAGAGGGGGAGAACCAAAGGGAGAGAGAGGGGAGGAGAGGGGGGAGAGCGAGGGAGAAAGAGAGAGGAGAGGTGGAGAGCGAGGGAGAAAGAGAGAGGAGAGGGGAGAGCGAGGGAGAAAGAGAGAGGAGAGAGGGGAGAGCGAGGGAGAAAGAGAGAGAGAGGGGAGAGCGAGGGAGAAAGAGAGAGAGAGGGGGAGAGCGAGGGAGAAAGAGAGAGAGAGGGGGAGAGCGAGGGAGAAAGAGAGAGGAGGGGGGAGAGCGAGGGAGAAAAGAGAGAGGAGAGGGGGGAGAGCGAGGGAGAAAGAGAGGAGAGGGGAAGAGCGAGGGAGAAAGAGAGGAGAGCAAGGGAGAAAGAGAGGAGAGCAAGGGAGAAAGAGAGGAGAGCAAGGGAGAAAGAGAGGAGAGGGGGAGAGCGAGGGAGAAAGAGAGGAGAGCGAGAGAGACAGGGAGAGCGAGAGATACAGGGAGAGCGAGAGAGACAGGGAGAGCGAGAGAGACAGAGAGCGAGAGAGACAGGGAGAGGGAAAGGGAGAGCGAGAGGGACAGGGAGAGCGAGAGGGACAGGGAGAGCGAGAGGGACAGGAGAGAGCGAGAGGGACAGGGAGAGCGAGAGGGACAGGGAGAGCGAAGAGGGACAGGGAGAGGGACAGGACAGGAGGGGGACAGGGAGAGGGAGATTGTGCGCAATGTGTTAAACTGAAAACCACTGAGGGTTTAACACAACTTTAAATACAGTATATCTCTAGCCAATTTTATTTAATTTTTTTTTAGTTTTGGGTACAGTAGGCTATTGATTAAACCCCCTATCTGGTTCTTTTTGCTTTATCTCACTAGAGCGATTACCATTCGCTGCCTGCCCTGGTGATAAACAGGCTTTGTTCCTTCATCAAGGTCCTGATCACTCAGATACATTTGCACATTTTTACAGACAGCAGGTTACAATAATGTCTCCACATGTTTTCCACCACAGAACAGTAAAGGTTTGCATCTTGCTCTGCTTTGCCTGTGATGCTAATGGTCTCTATAGGACCTGCTGCATCAAAGGAAACCCAATACAAAGCAACACAGGTCACAAGGAGTCTCGGGACTGTCATCCACACAACACCATTACAGTAAATAGGAATCTGCTCATTAGGGCGGTCATTGTTTTCCTACATCTGCAATTCATATCGTCTACATGAGTGAGCCCTTGCAGTTTTTACAATCTTCCTGAATGTCAGGGGCAGGAAGGCCAAGCTGAGCCCTCATTCAGGGGGCAGCAGAAAGGCCAGACAAGTTGTCAGATAATCCCCTACTTATCAAGAACAATTCAGTGTGGATAAAGAATAAATGACTTCCACAACTAGGTAAAGGCTCATATTGGAGGTACAGGATGATATACAAGAACAGCCATGATATACAAGAGAGACAGCCATGATATACAAGAGACAGCCATGATATACAAGAGACAGCCATGATATATAGGAACCTGCTGTACCACTGACCTTATAGTTACTTATTGCTTTATTTGCTAAATCAAATGTTTGATTGATTACTGCGTGTACATTAGATTCCCCAGGCACTGCATCTGTATGAAATGCCCACAAAACATTACCGTATCATAATTCAGGAAAACAACTTCCTCGTCTGTAAAAGACAGGGATTGACAAATTTGATTTCAATTTAGGAGTCAGCTGCAAAAAGTTAGCAGTTTTTTTTTTATGGGTGTGGCAAAAAAAAACTACAGTGGGAGGGGCTTAAACAAAACCCAGGCTTTGGGTATGACTGGGGGGTCGCTTTGGGAGGTAGAGGACTTGTACTAGAATGTGAGGTAGAGTGAGGGACAGATATATACTGGAGGGGGGGAAGGCTTTGTGCTAGAGGGAGGAGCAGAGGAGAGGATCCGATAAGTGCTGTGGGGGAGGGGCTTAAGGGGCATGGTTAAACAAAATCCAGGTTGGGGTGGAGGGGGGGTCAGATATGTACTAGGGGGAGCTTTGTGAGGGGAGAGTATTTGTACTAGAAGGTGGGGCAGAGGAGAGAATCGGATATGTGCTGGAGTGGAAGGTTTGTGCTTTGGGAGGGGAGAGAACTTGTGCTAGAAGGTGGAGGTAGATAAGTCCTTGAAAGAGAACTTTGGAAGGGGAGTTGACTTGTGCTGGGGGTGGGAGGGGGGGCAGACTTACACTGAGAGGGTACTTTAGGAGAGGCTTTGTGCTAGAAGGTGGTGTGGGGGGATATGTACTTGGGGGGGGTGCCAAGTTGCTCTGGGGGGCACTTTGGGAAGAGAGTGGACTTGTGCAGCGGGGTCAGATACATTATGGGGGTGCAGAATTGTTTTGGGAGGCACTTTGGCAGGGGGGGTGGACTTGTACAGGGGGGAATCAGATACATACTGGGGGGTGCTTTGGGAGGGAAAGGACTAGAAGGTGGGGTGGAGGGGGATGTCCAATCCAATCCCGAACTACAGCACAAATTTACTCCCCTCTCCCAAAGCGCCCCTCCAGAAACACATCCCATTACACCTTTGTTACCTGCTACCCTACACCCCTCTTCCCAGTCACTGTGCCCCCCCATCCCCGTGCAAGTAATCCTCTGCAGGCCTCCAATCATGCAGCACAAGTAAAATGTTGTTGTTGTTCTCCTCCTCCTGTGTACAGGAAAACATCAGAGCCAGGGAGGAGAAGGAGGTGGCTTCAGTCCAATCATACACAGTGGGTTTTTTGGGGCACTGGTTGCCTCTGCCCCGCTGCTTGTGTGATCCAGTCTCTGTATTGCAGCCGACATCTCCCCGCTGGCTGCCTGTCACAGTAACTTAAATGAGACAGGCAGCCAGTGGGGAGATGTTGGTTGCAATACAGAGACTGGATAGCATTGTGTGGTACCCCATACACCCCCGCACAAGCTGGGGGGCAGAGGCAACTAGTGCCCATGCTAGTGCGCCTGGCCGGACAAGTCACTGCACTCCGGGACCCAGCCTTGATAAGCCGGGACTTCATCAAATCCCGAGACAGTTGGGAGATATGGGGGATGACAAAAGCCCAGGCGCAAGGACGCAATTTCAAGTTGCCATGGCACATGGGATTTGTAGAGCCACTGGTAAAAGAAATCTTATGGTGCAGTCATTCCCCTTTCTGTCGAAAAACTTGTGAAGAGGTGGACATTTTTTATTCCTGAGTGGGTGTTTTGTCATGTCTTGTACGTCTGGAAACAACTCCGTTCCTACAATACTCCTGTATATTTCAGTTACAGGTGGAAGTCTAGCACTGAAAGTCATAAGCCGACTTCTTAGAACTCTTTGCGCACTAGCAATGAGATATTATCATCAATGTTTCCAGTTCTGTTCCCAACAATCTTCCTGCTCATATTTGGGTGTTGCCATTCGCTACGGTATTAAATAAAACTTTCCTTAAAATGTGCAATAACTTCTTCAAACAGCTGCTGTAGGCACAGCAAACAGGGAACCGCAGAAAGAAAGCAGGTTTTCTGTGGATGCTGGATGGCTGTTCCAAACATACTGAGTTCACTATCTGGCAGAAAATGGAAATACTCAAAACAGTGAGACCTTACCTCTCTCATTTGCTTTGCAACAGGAGTTTTACCTCTCCATTCCCTTTTACAATATTCTATGATATCAACTTCTGGTCCGACTCCTAGTTTGTCATCTGCAAAAATAAATAAGTAAAATAATTACAAAACCATGTAAATAGATGTAAATATACAAATTGGAAGCTTGAGCCCTGGTACGCACATGCAAATTCAGATGCATTTTGAGCGATACCAATTTGCATGACTGGTCAAATAACATTGTTTTCGGCGGAGCCCAATCACATACATGTGGGTGCAGCCACAGTGTGATTTTGCAAAGGGTTCTGTATGATTTTCAATGGGGTGAAGATGCCATTTCTAGCCAGCCTTTTACACTTGACAGTTCACATCAGAATCACACCTGCACTATTTAACAATATCACACTGAAAACAGCCATCAAAAAAATCACACCACATATACAGTGGGGCAAAAAAGCATTTAGTCAGCCACCAATTGTGCAAGTTCTTCCACTTAAAAAGATGAGAGAGTCCTGTAATTGGCATCATAGGTAGACCTCAACTATGAGAGACAAAATGAGAAAAACAAATCCAGACAATCACATTGGCTGATTTGGAAAGAATTTATTTGCAAATTATGGTGGAAAATAAGTATTTGGTCAATATCAAAAGTTCATCTCAATACTTTGTTATACATCCTTTGTTGGCAATGACAGAGGTCAAATGTTTCCTGTAAGTCTTCACAAGGTTGGCACACACTGTTGCTGGTATGTTGGCCCATTCCTATATGCAGATCTCCTCTAGAGCAGTGATGTTTTTGGGGGCTGTCGCTGGGCAACATGGACTTTCAACTCCCTACCTACAAAGGTTTTCTATGGGGTTGAGATCTGGAGACTGGCTAGGCCACTCCAGGACCTTGAAATGCTTCTTACGAAGCCACTCCTTCGGTTGCCCGGGGTGGGTATGTTTGAGATCATTGTCATGTTGGAAGACCACCAGCCACGTTTCATCTTCAATGCCCTTGCTGATGGAAGGAGGTTTGCACTCAAAATCTCATGGCCCCATTCATTCTGTTCTGTACATGGATCAGTCGTTCTGGTTCCTTTGCGGAGAAAACAGCCCCAAAGCATGATGTTGCCACCCCCCATGCTTCGGTATGGTGTTCTTTGGATGCAACTCAGCATTCTCTCTCCTCCAAACACGAGTTTGTGTTTCTACCAAACAGTTCTATTTTGGTTTCATCTGACCATATGACATTCTCCCAGTCCTCTTCTGGATCATCCAAATGCTCTCTAGCAAACTTCAGATGGGTCTTAATTATTTGAAAGAAATCTTGCGAGCCAAATAATAAAATTCCTGTTGTTGGATCGCAAACCTCCAGCACACAACCACCAATGTGAAAAACGTGAAATAAAGATAAATATAGTATTGCGCTCACAACCCTTCAATCTAAACATCTAAACAAATAAAAATGTGTATTGATAAACATAGATGACTGTATTTGTGAATCTTTAAGAGTCCACTTAAATAAACAATATGCATAGGACAGTGAAAAAACTAATAAATAAAATAAAAATGAAAAATAATTATGATTCTGTATAATAATAATATTGTCCCACAGAAACAGTGACTTTGTGCTGAAAAATCTTCAATATCATTAAATCGGTGACTGCTTGTGCCTCCTCCCTCAAGTGAAGATATGCGCTCACCTCATAGAAAGCCTGCAATTAGGCTATTAAAGCTTGCGGTTCACCTCCTTTGGAACCTACTTGTTTAAGAACTCCTGTTTGTGAGATATCCATGGAATGCGACATGTGCTATGGAAAAAATCTCCTCTCATGGGGTGCCCCTCCAATATCTTCCTGTCTCCATGCGGTTCTCCATAAACAAGAAAAATCCTGACATGGTGCTTTATCGTTTTAAAAGCTTTAATTATGCTGACAGGTGGCACTCACATAAATTCGTATAGTGGTAGTGCAAATATATTTCAGACCGCCGCTGACTGCCGGAGCTGTGCGCTCGTGGTCCGATAACCGGACTGACTCCCTCCGAGTGACGTACACAGTCCCACCCCTACGCGTTACGCCACTGGTCACGTGGCTTCATCAGGGGGATTTGATTGGTCGGTCACTCGTAAGCTGCCGGCTTATAAAGCACGGCTCCGCCATTTTGTTGACTTTCTATTGGGGGCAGCCATTTTCCTATGGATATATGCCTTATTGTTTGTGATTCTATCTATACTGTAACCATCCCGGAGGGGTACGTAACATCACTACTCCGCAGTCAGCTCAAGTATTATAAATACATCTCTTTATGGAATACCCATAGCATAAATTAATATCTTAATAGAATATACAAATATCAGCAAATTGATAAAGCAAATATAAATGACAAGTTACAAAAATTAATTTAATCCATATTAAAAAATATATTATAAATAAAATGAAATTAAATTAAAAATATATAGAAATGAAAATATTTATACCAAAATAATAAAATTAAAAAATATTTTAAAAAATAGGTTGAAGAATATGCACCGGTCCATATACCAGCACACATGCATGTTATAAAGGCAGGAGGAAGCTAGTGAAGAGAGGCGCCCATCCAGCGAGACCAGAATGAACCCCACCACATCACCACCCCCATAGCACCGCTATGCATGTACATACCGGCACATGCATCATGAATGGACCTGGCACATAGTCCCCAATCTATATATTACTAATAAAACATGATAAATCAAAATCTTTATTTAATCCCTCCTGGTACTAAACTACCCAACTCATAAATCCAGAATGATTCTTTTTTACTTATTTCACGTACTAAATTATCCCCTCTCCAGTGTGAAAAATGTTTAGTGATACCCCAAAATTCAACTTTATCTGCATCTTGATTGTGATGCGTTTTGAAGTGTACTGATAGGTGATGGTATTTGAATCCTATCTCTATATTGTGTACATGTTCTTGCATGCGTTCTTTCAAACTTCTTTTTGTGCGACCTATGTATAGATAATTGCAGGGACATTTTAAGGCATACACTACTCCTGTACTGTCACAGGAAATAAATTGTTCTATTTTATATTGTTTACCGTTCCTTGGATTTATAAAGAACTCTCTATGTCTTGGATTTGCATGTGTTTTCCTGCAACTGTAACACCGACCACATTTATAAAATCCGGTTCCAGTAAAGAAATTTAAAGTAGTTTTCAAAGTTTGGGGGGGTTCTAACACATTTTTGACTATTCGGTCACGGATATTCGGTGCTCTTTTATAAACAAAACCTGGGTTGCTCTTTAACTACATCCTTCAAGGTTTTATCGAGTTGGAGTATGTTCCAATGTTTATTTATAATTTTCTGAACATCTCTGTATTGTCTACTATATGGTAATATTATGGATAATTCTTGTTCTCTGGTTTTGAATTTCTTATTACCCTCTAACAATGTAGTTCTATCTATAAGTTCTATTTTACCTCTTTCATCCAATATCATTTCTTTCTTGTAACCCTTATCTACAAACCTTTGAACAAGTATTTGGCTTTGTATTCTATAATCTTCAATATTAGTGCAGTTCCGTCGTAACCTATAAAATTGTCCCCTTGGTACATTTTTGATCCATGGTCTGTAATGGCAGCTACTAACCGGGATATATGAATTACGATCAGTTTTTTTTAAATAATTTTTTGTTATTATCCCTTCATCTGTGTTCACTAAAGTGAGATCTAGATAGTGTATTACTTCCTCATTGATGTTCCAACTCAATTCAATATTTTTAACATTCCTATTCAGACTCTGATAATAATCAATCAGTGATGGTGTGTCACCTTTCCACAATATTAGGATGTCATCAATAAATCTGCCATATGTCACTATGTTACTATTGATATTGGAGAAAACTGCTTCTTCCTCCCACTTAGCCATATACAGATTGGCAATACTAGGTGCAAAACGGGCGCCCCATGGCCACTCCCCTTATCTGCAAGTAGTATTCTCCCTTGTACCAAAAGAAGTTATGACTGAGGCAAAATCTGATACATTTAATCAAAAATTTAATTTGTTTCTTAGAAAGAGTGGAATATTTATTCAGAGCCCAAGTTGCTGCCTCCATTGCTCCTGTATGATCAATTATGGTATAAAGTGAAGAGACGTCTGCTGTACTTAGAATTAAGTTATTATTCTTTTCCACTGTCTGCAAAATATTAATCACATGTGTGGTATCTTTTATATATGCTTTTGTTTTCTCTACTAAGGGTTGAAGAAATTGATCTATATACTGTCCAATTCTAGATAAATAGCCCATCTATACCATTAACTATGGGTCTCATGGGAGGATCTTCTAAACTTTTATGTATTTTTGGTATAGAATACAAAATTGGTATCTTGCTAACTGAGGGTACTAAGTAATTTGCTTCCTTGTCATCCAAAATGTTTCTGTGTTTTCCATGTGATATTAATTTTCTTAATTCTGTTTTGTATAATTTAGTGGGGTTATTAATCAGTTTGCAATAAGTGTCAGTATCACCTAACATATTACTCATAGACTTATCATAGGAATCTTTCGACAATACCACTATTCCCCCCCCCCCCCTTGTCCGCTGGTCTTACTACTATGTTATCTCTATCTTGCAAAGATTTAATTCCTTTCTTTATATCGGCTTCTCCTTTAAACGTTTTTATCTTAAGTTCCTCTATATCTTCCATCACCATTTTCTTAAAGTTATTTATGTATAAATTATCTTGATTTTTAGGATTGAATACTGATTTATTTTTCAACGTACTATGTTGTATATTCCCAATGTCCTGATTGTTAGTGTCAATGGGATTCTGTAAAAAATATTTTTTTAAATTTAATTTTCTTATGAATTTTTGTACACTTATATACGTTTCAAATTTATTCAATTTGTTATTAGGCGCAAACTTCAGACCTCTATCCAATGTTTTGATCTCATCACTATTTAATGGGATACCACTTAAATTGTATATACCTTCCCCTATGGGTCTCTTCTCCTTTTCTTGTTTCCTTTTTCTTCCTCCTCTTTTTCCCCTCTTTCTGGTCTTTCTTTTTGTGTGGGATTGTAGTCCCATCCTAAAAAAGGGTTGGGGGAAGGATTATCCTGTTGT